CTGCTCCGCAAAAGAGGAAAGGTTTGCAGACATTTCTGAGGCTACGGTTGATCATTTTTGTAGTTCATTATCCTGTTAGTGTCCAAGCTAATGAGCTAACTGTAAGTTAGCACGCTACTAGAAGTAAATAGCTCGGTACAGAAAACGTTCCAGTTACTAACAAGCCCTACAAGTAGTTCCTATGTCACCAAACTTGTATTTCGCAAAGACATGGTACAAATGTAGCTGTGTTGTGACCAGGCCTTAACTATAAAGGGTCGGTAGCTAAACATGTTGGGATCCAGGGCCTACATCCAACTTAAATTTGATGCATCTCTTACCTTTACAGACATAAACGAGTGCCAGTCTTCACCTTGTGCCTACGGTGCCACCTGTGTGGACGAGATCAACGGTTTCCGCTGCATCTGTCCGCTCGGTAGAACGGGGGCCCGATGCCAAGAATGTAAGTACATCTTTATTCTCTGCTCTTTGAAGTCAGACTCACTCATTGATTCCATTATATAGGCAACATTTTGACTCATTGTGCAGAATTTTGACAACTTTGATTCATCCATTGATTGAGTCACACATGACTGCAGCCCTCTTGCTGGAGAAGTACAACATGTCTCTGTCTGTATGTAGTTATAGGTGTTGGGAGGACTTGCCACTATGCTGGGCTGCAGTTTCCCCATGGCAGCCACTGGGAGGAAGAGTGCAACAGCTGCCATTGCATCAATGGCAAAGTGGACTGTACAAAGGTAACAGTGCCAGCTTAACTCTGCTACTCCTCACTTACAAACAAACTCAAACAGCAGCAAGGTAGAAAGAGTTTCAACCAATGCACAAACTGTCTGACGGGTTTCTTAGTTGTTGGTACACCATTATAAATGTTTTTGTGGGTTTACATGTTGGTGATTTTTTTTTTTTTTTTGACTTTGTGACACCAGGTGCTGTGTGGTCAGCGTCCCTGTCTGCTCCAGTCTCCAGACCAGGACCAGAAACAGCAGTCCTGCCCGGCTGGACGAGAGTGTCTGGAGCACAGCTACCTGACGTGCTTCTCTCCCCCTTGCCAACAGTGGGGGGTTTGTTCCATGGCTGGACCCTCACCTCCACAAGCAACCACCAAGTGCCAGCCAAACACCGGACATTTGGACAACAGCTGTGGCCGCGTGACACTTGTCTTCAACAGAGACAAAGTACCACCAGTGAGTCATCTCTTCATATAAATCCTTGCTGTTGAAGTCGTGAACACATTTTCAGGCTGTGGTTGGTTTTTTTTGGTTTTTTTTGGTATTATTCCTGATCTGTGTGTGTGCATGTGTGTGTTCAGGGAACAACAGTGGAGAACATCTGCTATGAGCTGAGGTATCTTCCTGACACCCGAAGCTTGTCAAAAGACCACGCCCTACTGCTTTTGTGTGACCTCTCTCGTTCCAATCAGGATGCTGTAGAAGTGGCTATAGTAAGTGAATGATCTGCGTTGTCTTGTTCTTGGCTTAGCACACACACTATATTCTTACGTTCTACAGTGTTAATAAACTCCCATTTAGGCTGAGAAGCACAGTGTTGCACAGTTTGAGTTAGTTGGCACACAAATACCCAAACAACTAGTGCTACTCTTTGGCTATTTGTACAAAACAGTTAACCCTAAAATTACTCGCACAACGTTTTGCGTTCAATATTTTTTATATATTTTTTTTCCCCAAAAAAATGTATATTGTATACATGTTTAAATATATATTGTAAATATTCCAGACTTGGTGCTTGTTCCCAGCTGTTATGTCTCATTTTCTCTGGTTTGGTTCTCAGTCTTTCCAGCCGGAGGATCTACCGGACCACAGTCTGATCCAGGAGGCAGCCAGCGCTATAGTTGGCACCTTGTCCAAGCGGCACAACAGTACCGTGATGCTGGCAGTTATTGAGGTCAAAGTGGAAACACAGGTCATGCCCCCCTCAGTCGGTGAGTAATAATTAACAAGGGTGTCCCATAAGGGTTTGTTGTGGTCCTCGTTCAGTTCCTCAGTTAGTATCCTCACTATTTCTACTGATTTCTACTCCTTGTCCTCCCTTGAACATCTTGATGTCAGCAGATTACCAGGTGCCTCTACTATGTGTGGTGTTCTGCTTGCTCTGCCTGTTCTGCATTATCGTATGCGTTTGGTGGACGCGCAAACGGAGAAAAGAGCGCGAGAGGAACTCGCGACCAGCTGCCGACGACAATGTGAACAACCAGTGGCAGCCACTTAGGCTCGTCGTGGGACGTCAGCAGCAGCAGCAGCAGCTGAAAGAAAGCAACAGGGACGCCGAGCAGGAGCGCAAAAAGCTCATGGGCCCCTATCGGACGTGTGATGAGGGGGAGGAGGAGGAGACGGAAGGCGAGCTTGAGCTCGAGGAGGAGTGTGGTGGAGCAGAGGCGGGAAAGCAGCCAGTTTATAAGTACTCCAAGACTGCAGTGCAGTCCAGTGGGGAAGTGATCTGTACCATGCACAGTTCCAGTTCACCCCTCAAAGCACCCCACCGGACCCCAGGCTACAGCCCCAAAGACAACCGCTGGAAAAATGTCAGTGCCGTCTTGACCGGTCAGAAAGACCTCAAAGACCATTGTGTATAAGACATTTAAACAAAGGACTCGCAATGTGGAAGCGAGGGAAGCTGCAAGGCAGCAGCTATTCTTCTTTTTGGATTACTTTTGGGAAGAAAAAAAGGCTTTGTGTTTTAATAAGCCGCTCTTTGCTTTGTTTTCATGTTTTTGTCACTGTCCCCTGAAGTACTTTTTGATTCAGGAGGCTAGAGCACAGTGAACATCCTTTTTTTTGCTTCTGTGTTTACTTATTTTTCTTTAGTTATGTACAGAAGGGGCTGACATGTTGTTCAAGAGGCTAAAGAAGCTCTCTGCAATTTTTGTTTATGGAATTGTACCATTTTTGAAAACGATGAATCATCCAAAAGGAGGGGAAAAAAACCAACCTGTATAAAGATGTATGTTTGTTTACAGATGTTTGATTTTGTTAAATTGTCAGCGGGCTCCTGTTCAATGTGGGGGGGAGGGGAGGGAGGAAGGGTTTTGAGGGACATGGACTGCTGTTACAGCAACAGAGGAAGACCTCCCTTTGCTCTGTCTCGTTCCAGCTTTGCCCACCAATCCACCTGTGGCCGTCATGCGCCAGCCTTACCAAAACACTTGGCCTGGAGTGGGGGGGAGAGGGGACAGAAACCCCAGTGCCTACTATGTGGCCTTCCATTTTCTTCACCTGTCTCTCAGTTGTCTTGGCTGAAAGCTTTGTTTGAGGATTTTTTTTTTTTTTTTTTTTTTTGCAGTATTTGAGTTGGTAGCAAGTGCCTTTCTAAGGGCCGCGTCGAGGCTCCGAGTCGCGCTGCCCAGTTTGACCTCCTTGTTCTCAAATCTCAAAGGGAAGTGTACATTAGAGAGTTCAATTTCACAGCAACGCCATTCAAGGTATTTGATCAAAACAGAAATGAATACTCTGTACATATGTGTAAATACTAAAGGAGTCGCTGTGTATATTTGAAATAAGTAACTTAAAGACAAGTCACACATTTTTATTATTATTATTGTTGTTGTTATGAGTAATATTATTTTTTATTTTATTTTTTACAACGCCATTCCTTTTATTTATGCCAGTCGAAATGGGCACGTTTTATAACGCTTCATATCCAGAGTTCCACAGTTAAGAACCTTTACAATGAGGTACCACCTGGGAAGGCATTTCTGAAGGGTTTATCAATGGTTAGACGTGAGGACACGTTTGTTTTTGTTTTTTTGTTTGTTTTTGTGACTAGCTGTCACATCGAGAGTTGTGGCTATGTCTTTAGTGCTTTTTAGTTAGGGCAAATCAGTGAACCCTAGTACCCTTACCATGAAATACCTGGCCAAAGGATTGCCACGTCCATTAACAATTTTAATGATAAAAAGCTTTTTCCAGGCTATGGTCCAACATAATTGGATCTGGTCTCAGTCTTCTATCAGCCTGGCAAAATTAACCTATTGATCTTAGTCAACCGTAGATTGACAGCAAAACAAATGATGGCTCGGATAGTTTTTGGATACAAAGAAATCTCAATTCTTTTGCACATAATTCTCTCTATTGAAGCAAACCTGTATTAATATTAGGAAAGCTGTATTAATGTATCGTCTGTGTTCGTAGAATTTCACAGTTCCATAGCAAAACAGATTTTTAACATGGTCATATTTAAAGGGTAGGTCAAAAATGTGTCAAATTGTGCAGATAAACGGCTGCCGCGCTGCTCTTTCGCGACGGAAACTTCGAAGCAAGTCGCCGTTATGGCCACTCGTCAATCGGTGATGTCACAGTAGGCCTGTTGACTCACCCTTTGTGACAACACAAAAAGGGGGGGTGTGCCCTAGAAATGCAACTTGCTCCTGCTTTTCTGCCAGTTTGGAAGCAGAGCAGCCGTCTACTTCTACATTATTTGACCCGGTCTTTATCACTAGTCATTTTTAAATAACTCGTCACTGATTATGGTTGTTTAATCAGGATTTGGTGAAAAACAAAATTCAGAAGTAGCTTTTGGCCGACAGTGTTGCAAAGCTACCAACATTATAGCCTTAAAAAGTTCTCAAGCCATTTCTAAACCCGTCACGAATCCTTTTGTTTCAGGTGCCTTAATGTAATAAGTAATGCATTATTTGTGTATCGATGGTCATCTTTTTATGTTTTGTTTTCACTACTAAGGAAAGTAACTCTTTGAAACATTGTGTGGTGTATAGTGGCGTGTTTTATTCGCCTGAGTAAAGTGCTCTCCTTGTCTCGCTTTGCTGTCACGGAGATTGCTGGAATACAACACTTTATGGAGGATTAAAAAAAATGAATCAGTCCACCGTGACTCTTTTAAGTGTCATGAATGTGGATGTCAGTAGGTCAAATGTTGACGTCATTCATTAGCTTCATGTTTGGTTTAAAGGCTTTAATGAAGGGAACAATATTTGCAGATGTCTTTGCTACCATGCAGGTGTTTTTTTTTTTTTTGTTGTTTTTTTTCCCCCCAGTTTCTTTTTTTGTTTTTTTAAAGATACCAACTCAGTTCAAAATGACCGACTTTTTCATGTCATTGTCTCAAACCGGCATCGTATTTTCTGTAAATGGGACACAGCAAAATAAAGAATTAAAGATGCATCACTGCTGGTGTTAAAAGCTGAATATGCATATTGTATACATTTTATTCTTTAAAGGGACATAAGTTAATTTTATACAAAGGTTTCCATTATTTTAGTGGATGTTTCATTGTTCTAAATAATCATCCCAGTTATTTATTAAAGCAGTTTTGACACATGTTGATCACGCTTGTAATATTTGGTTTGCAGTACACAACATTGGGAATGTTGACAATGTGAGTAAATCTAAATTCACAAAAAACTAAAGGTCCACTCACTTGTGCTGCAACTTTCATCATGGTCCAGTTAGATGTTCAAACTTTTTAGAAACTTTCATTTGTGTTTTAAAACTCGAGCTTTACAATTTATTCTTGACTTTGGAAACAGCGGTTGACAAAATAAAGTTTGCCTAAACTCTGCTAGAACATTAAGACTATTCTTTTAGAAGTAGACAAATCACATTTTAGTGCAGCTTACTAGATAAATCGGATGTAGTAATTGCTTTGTAATATTTATTTACACAAGAAAATTGTGTATCATGACTCATTGAAAATAATCTATCATCCGATAACAATTGGAGTTAAACATGTCGTCATGCCTTAAAGCTGCAGTAATCTAGGTTTGTATACTAACAATTGATAAAATGACTTGGTAATATAAGAGGTTGCTCGTAATGATGAAGCCACAGAGAATTATTACCTGACTGCAGCTCTAAAAGGTGTTTTTTAGTGTCTTTCAGTTCATTGTTTTGGTTTTATGGTCAACAACTCTACTGTAAACCTACTGTTCACTACCTGTCCAACACAAAACCGCAGTCGGTCAGCTTTGATGTAAACTAAAATAGCGGCAGTCATTTAGCGAGCTAAAAAGCTATACATTTCCCCCAGGAGTCGGTGGAGACCAAAAACGGAGCTAAGAGGAGACTAAATATTAACCGTATTGGTGAGGGGGCCAGAAATACACCTACAAGTGAATGCTAATATAGCTCTGTCTGCTGGATGTGTATGTAGGAAACTGCTCTTATTTAACAACTATTAAAAAAAAAAAAAAAGTAAATGAATGCTACTTTCACTTACTGAGATCACGTTTTATATTTTACCTATGCTGTAGTTTAGTGTAAACCAGAGGGGTTCTCGATCTTATTTCAGCCAATAACCACTTCCAAGATACACTTTTATAGTCTTTATGTAAAATAACACAAATAATAGTGTTTTAACATATTTGCAGATTCTAAGAGTTATTCATTTTTGAACTATTAAACATTTAAATATTCATTAAACCATGAAGCCTTTTGTATATTTATCACAGACCTCCCCTGGCGACTTGCCCCAGACCCCATTTTGAGAATGGTGTAAACCAAGCCTTCTCCAGTGCTTTAAAGGGTCACCTGACCCAATGACAAAATAAGCAAATGTTCCCACTTCAGAGGACTATTTGTTCAAAGGAAGCGGTTCCAGATTATTCAGACCAAATGTGACACTAACTTCGAGCTTTTCAAATGAAATGTGATGTTTTAAACCCCAAAAGTAAAACTGCATTCGCCTCCATAGTACTGGTGTGAAGGCAGAAAGATTAGAAACGGATGCACAAAAGCTCTGCTCAGCTTAATACCTCGGTTACATGCGTTAATACATCAAAACGACTAACTCATAACTTCTAACTGTTGCCACTCGCACAAGAATAACAAACTTCTGAAACCCTGCAGTCCTTGCCCTTGCCCTCGTCTGTGTCGGCTGAGGATGGCCTGGATCGATCGATCCAATAACCTCACCAGCCTCCCCGCCATCCTGCCATCACTCTCCAGTCTCTCTCTCCCACCACACCAATAGGACCTCGTCTCCTGTTCTGGGCCGATCTGATCTCCGCCAATTGGAGGCTGGCGTGATCATCCTGGCCACAGAGAGATGTGAATGTTTCATGAGTAATGTTATGATGCTGGGCCGAGTGGTGGTGGGGTGGGACACTTTTCCTCCTGGCTCCCATGGGTGCCCCTGGCTGGCGCTAATAGGACCTTCCCTTATCGGAAAGGCCGGATCGACTTACACAGCTTTGTGGAAGTGGTTGAGTCACAGGGAGGGAGAGGAAGGGAGATGATACAGCTTACTACGTATATTAATATACGTATGATTGTGAATTCACTTTCAGAGGAGTTTGGTCCTGTTGTCCAAGCATTATTGTGATGCTAAGTTGCCTGTCAGTTTCCCCCACCCCACACACACACACCCCACTACCACCACCACACTCATCCCAGACTGCATCAGTAAACTGACACCAGATTCCAAAAGTGGCTCCTTACAACAGCCAAGGACATCTCAGTACGCTGCATTTGTAAACACGCCGTACTACACCACTCAAAATGGTGAAAGCATTAACAAGCAGAGGAAAGAGCCTAAACGCAGAGCACATGACTTCATTTATCGTTGCTGCATTAAGGCGGAGAAGGTTACCGAGTCTCTTTCATACACACGTGCACCTTCTGCATACACTGCAGACTGCGGTACACTGACTGACTTTGAGATGGTATTTCATGTGCGCTCCTGCTCCATGTCGCTGCTCTGTACATCTGTTGATGTGGGTCTTTGGGAACATCTGACAGTGGAAGCAGCTGGGTGGCAGGATTTTAGGCTAAGCCCTCCGTCCCTTTAAACACACACACACACACACATACGCAGTCGTAAACCAAACATGGCCCCGATGGGACATCAAGCTGGCACGTGCTGGTGGGCAGCGGGCTGCAGCTGGCACTGAGGCGGGAAAACAAGTCACAATGTACTGACTGTATCTGTGTATGTTAGTTGGCTGGCACTGCAGGTCTGCTTTGCCGCTGCAGTAACCCTCACATGTACCCTCTGCACCAGGAGGGGGGGAGGGGGGGAGTGCGACTGGGAGTCTACAGTGCCATAGCAACTTTTCTGGGCCACCTGTTCAGCGTGTGGATGTGTATAAATGAACAATAGTCTTGAGAGGAAACTGAAATGCTTTGTGCAGGTAAACTTAGAAATTACACTGGGAGAAGTAACAGGACACAGAAAAGTATACTTAAATATGATTTGAAATAAAGGGGTTAGGGAAGGAAGCCCCTTATGAGTATGTATGATAATCAAAAATCTGAACAAGAGATTTATGGATCTCATTTATAGAAACATTTTTAAGAAATAAATTAAAAAATATGGCTGCAACTAATGATTCCTATTATTGATTCATCTTTTAATTCCTCAATCAACCAATTTATAATTTGATGTATAGAATGTCAGCAGAGGGTTAGAAATAATCCCAATTCCCCAGAACTCATTGTGGTGTCTTTAAATATCTTGTAGTGTTCAACCAAAAGTTCAAACCCCAGATATATTCAATCCACTATCATAGACAACAGAGAGAACAGAAACTATTTACATTTAAGAAGCTAGTAAATCTTTGTTTTTTGCTTTAAATTGAATGTAAATGACTAATTGATTATCAAAATGGTTTCTGATTATTTTTTGGTTGATCAACTAATCAATTAACTGTCTAATAGTTTTATATCTAAGTGATAATGTGCAAAAGGATGCCAATGCAAAGGGCTGGTTAAGATCTTGTTATGAAAACAATACTTTATTTTCTTAGTATCTTTTGTGGCTTTGGGTTCCTAATGATGTGAACCTTCAAACTACATATTTCATGAATGTAGCTCATTTGTTTTCTGCTTATGGACCTTAACGTTTTACCATAAGCACTAAAAAATACCTCTGATGTTTAGTAGAGACAAATATTTTCAACCATGGTTTTAGAGTAATTATACCGAAGAATCCCAATTAATCTGACAGTGACATATTGATGCTATGACATGCTTAATCAACTGGCCTTCCTTTGGGTCTCCCTGCTGTCGGCAGATCACAGCCATGGAAGTCATTTAAAACCCGTATGTTGGATTTTGAAGGGCAGAAGGAAGGGTCAAAGGTCAGAGGAGTGTAAACAAACTGTGAATTTGCATCTTTCCCACCTCAGCTACAGTGGCATGTGTACTTATTGGTCGTTCGGATACCTCTGGTGAGAATCTGGCCTTTAACAGCTGGTGGGGAAAAACAGAGCTCATGTATCCTGAATATTTATAATAGTCACACATATAGCCCATGTTTACATGAACAGGCAGATGGAAAGATGGTGCGCTTGACACGGTGCTTTTTTTGAGATCTCATGTAGTTTTCTTTCCTATATGTTTCCCTCTACATATGCCATGCATGTCTGTTTGTACACGCTCAATTGACAGTGTGCAGTGCAACCCAACACCATGTACAGTCATATGCAAGGTCAATTTGCACCTCTCTCAGCATGACTGACATCAGGGAGGGTAAAACGCCCTCAGGAGCTACTCTGAAGCAAGCTACAATTAGAAAGCTACACGGACATTATCTGTGTTCTCAGACAATTGTTAACCCAACTTCTGAGGACAGTGCTGGCACCAACATCTGTGTTGGTGACAACAGCGGTGTCCATGAGAGTGTCGCATTATCCATATGACACTATAACTATAGCTTTATTCAACCAGGAAAAGGGCTGACTGAGATTAAAAATATCTTAATATATCAGTCACAGGAGACATATTGTTCTGCAGAACCATACTTCTACTTTTTATACTTTAAGTACATTTTTGCTGATGTATATACTTCTGCACTTTTACTTTAAGGAATTTGAAAGCAGGACTTGTATTTGAGCAATTTGACTTGTCCTAACTATTTGACTGCACAACATTTATTTGACAACATTAGATTCTTGTTACTATCCAGATTAAAAAGACATTTATCATCCAATAAATTATGATGCAATATTATGAATTAAGATACCAGGCAGAATATAAAGTGAAATTAGCCCTGCATTTAGCAGCTGCAACATGTAAAGTGATTTATACATGACTGCATCATAAGTTATTATTCTGAAACTGTCCATTATTCATAAGAAGTAGCGTTACTTTTACTTTTGGTACATTATGTATATTTTTATGTTTTTTACTTGTAATGTGACAAACTGGCTGTGACATGCGATA